GAGGGGCTTATGGTTACCTGGAAGCTCATTAATGGAATAAGAAAACTTTAGGTCAAGATTTCCAGTCCTAGACCACCTGAGCATCTGATCTTTTTTTTTTTTTTTTTTCTGGTGACTCTTTTTGACTTGCAAGATCCCATCTCAATCAACTTCATATTTCTGTTGCTCCTATTCTATAAAAAGTTAATAGGGAATGAGCCAGAAACACCACATAATAGCAACTCAATATTTAGTAAGCCCATATCATGAGGCAAGCACAATTCTAAGGAGCTTTATACATATTAACTAATCTTACATCATTCTCCCATTAGGTAGATATTACCTTGCCCTGATTTTATAGATGTGGCACAGAGAGCTCAAGTCAATTGCCTGGAAGCTCACATAGCTAATAACAGGCAGAGCCAGGATTTGAATCCAGATATTCCAGATGCAAAGCACTACTCTTAATCACAACACAGTACTGCCTCTCACAGGTCACACAAAACTGGACCTGAAACAACTCAGCCTTGGCAATGTTACAGATTTCTACCTAAAGATTACCTGAAACTCCCTGCCCTTCTCTGTGCAGACCACAAACCGTATGCTCACAGTTCAATCACGTTTCCACTCCTAAAAGCCTCACAGAGCAGATGACACTGTCATTTATTGGTTGAAGCCTTGCTTTGCTTTAAAAGCCCTCCTACCTTGCCTTGCTTTAAAATCATGACTATGGAAAAGATAAAAAATAAATCGCACCACGTAAATACTAATCTCCTCAAGTAATCACAGTCTAGAACAAAACTCTACCTCTAATCTTTAGTAGGTGTATTTCTATATCATCAGAATGCACTGGAGGATTTGAACAATTTGCCATATGAAAAGATGTCTCATAAGTGAGAAGGACAATAGGAGGTCACTGGGAAGAAGGATGCATCAGCATGGTGGGTATTCACCAGAAGAAAGACCCAGGATAGACATTACTAGTCAAGATATTTCAGGCCAAGAAAAGCAAATGTTCTCATGACCTAGAAGCAAAAGTAATTGTATGAATAAAAAAGAAACATAGACTCACCTGAACCTTGATTTCTAAATACCCAAAAATTCTTTCCTCTTCCTCAAGGTCCTTCTTAGGGAATCTGGCAGTACGGGAGGAAAAGGGGGACTCATAAGATACCAGTATTTCTCGGAACACAAACAGATTTAATTTTAAAAGAAAAAACAAAAACAAAACACACTCTATGGCCTCTCACAAGCTACACAAAGCTGGACCTGAAACAACTCATGCTTGACAATGTTATATCTGCCTTCATCCACACATAACCAAATGGGATTAAAAGGGAGGCTGTTGACAGCGATCCTTGGAGACAGAGGTCTGGTTGCACGGCTCTGAAACATGTCGTTGGCCCCCAAAGAGCTCCTAGAGGCACCCATTCTAGGAATCTTCCTTCTAGAACCTACCCATCAGGTCTTCTTAGAAGCCTGTCATGGGGACACTTCCAGATATAAAATTCTCAACCTTCTTGCTTGAAACTGTTTAATAGACTTCTTTCCTGCGGTCATTTAACTGTGGCAGGCCCAAAGACAGCCTAGAGGTAAACTAGAGCACACGCCCGAAGCAAACCACAGCTCCAAACCCCGTCACACATTCCCAACCGCACTCACCCTCACTGAGACACACTCCAGCCTTGTCACGCCGTCTATTACACATCAGCTGCCCACTCACACACAGTCTTGAGGCTCCAAACACGACACACCCTGTCCGCTATCCGGGCCTCCTCACCTCCAGCGACCACGATGTCACCCTCACCCTCACTGCAGGTTCGAATCGGGCTCCGATAAAGTCCGCTGAGCTCCCCAGCCTGATCCGGCGCTGATTACTTCTACGGACGCGACCAACTCACCACGCAGTGCCAAGCGCTTCGAGGACACAAGTAAGGGACCCAGAGACCAAGGTTAGTTTGGATCCAGAGGCTTCTGGGAAGTAAAGCCGGGAAATCCTTGAAGGCTGGGAGCGGGGTCATAAAAAGTGCTCTCCGCAGGCAAAGCCGCCCGCCTCTAAAAGACCTGTGTCTCGGAGACTTCTGGGAAATGTAGTCCACAGCTCGCGAATCCCCGGAAGTTGGGACCGGGGCTGCAGGAAGGCTCCCAGCATGCAAGTCGGCCCTGCCTTTCAAAGACGCATTTCCCGAACCGACCCGGAGGGAGTGGGTAGTTCCCGGCTTGGGCTGGCCTGGCGGTTCAGTCACCTTTGGTGTGGCAGAGAGCGAATTAAAAGGTCCTCAGCAAAGGCCAATTGAATGCGTTCTGGAGACCAAAGCGGGCGGAGATAGGGGTGTCTGAGGACTTAGACCTGAGTGAGCAGGTACATTCTGGGTAAAGTCCGTGGGAATGGCCTGAGTGGAAAACCACCAGTTTACCTGGCTACGACCTCCTGGAGCAGTGTCTAGAAGTTGAACAGATGGGTGTGTCTCACCCTGAGTGAGTTGTGGGTCCGACTGGGTGTCTGAGACCCTGTGTGGACCTGTTTGTGTTCACAGGATAGTTTCTGAGTTTCCACCTGTGTGAGTCTATTTCCCTAGGTGTGAGGCAGTCCGTGTTACAGATTATATGCCACGGAGAAAGACAACAAAAAGTGGTCATGAATGGATATTGTGGGATTGAAAGATGTGAGGGGTCTGTAAGATTGTTTCTGTTAATATCAGTAACCAAAGATGACTTACTATTTGTGAGATGGTTTTTTTTGATAGGCTTTTCTTTTGTGTGCATACCTTGGTGATTATGAAAGTGGATTACTATCCAGCTGGGATTGAAAAACAGTTCAGTGTTGTCTACCTCCGTGTGTGCGAATTTGATTATCTGACTAGCGACCACTATATGGGAAATCGTGACTATGTGTTGGGATTGAATGACGATAAGTCACAGTTGCATTATCTATAGAGTAGTATTATTACATCTTTTTGGAGCGTCAAATTTAAGATGCTTTTTATCTGCCAAATGATTTAGAAATTTTATAATTAATCAAAGATATTTTATGAAAAAGAATGCAAAACAGCATAACTTTTAGAAAGAAAGAAGAAAGCAAAATACATCCAATCATGGAGTGCCTGACGTAGGCTCCCACTCTTCTGTGATATTAAGGGGACTTGAGTAGATAACTTTGGCAAATCCTGGATTGAAGGAATAGCTTTCCACTTGTAATGGCAGGTGGATTGGAGCAGTGCCCAGAATTAGGGAATCAGATGTTCTAGATTATAGGCCATGCAAGGCAAGGAACCTTTTTGAGACTACATTATTAGTCTATCAGAAAACTACCTGACTTATTTGGATATGTGATAATTAACACATTTTGTTATATCTAAATATACGAAACTAGGCATTTATGTAACTAATATTATTGCAGTAGCAAACAAATCTAGAGATAAACATACCCATCAAAAAACAGGATGGATAAATTAGGTGTGCAGTACCTATATTGTGGAATACTACCCAGCAGTGACAATTACTGAATCTAACAAATATAATGAACAAATAGAGAAATATACATGCAGTATATTTTTAGAAGAAGCAAATATATATTCATAAAATTTTACACATTCGTAAAATAGAGAAATACACA